TCAGCAGAGTATGACTGTAAGTCCCTGTCTCTGCAAGTGATCACCTTTCTTCTGTCTGTTTTCCTTATGATCAGAGTATCCTTGCTTAAGTTGTTGCAGAAACAGATAGCTACTCTTAAGCAAATCAGCAAACTTGTTTCTTCCCCTGCCAGTAGTTTCCAGGGTCTTCTGAAGCCTTGGTAGCTCCAGCCCTCTGTTTTAGAAATTTCTTTTGTAGTGGAGCTTTAAGTGAGTTGGTTTGATGCAATCAGCATAGCCAAAGAATTACAGAGGTCATAAGACAGTTCCTCTGTGCTGGGAAACCTCCTGGTCAAGAAGCCTGAAGAATACAATCTCTGAAGGAAAGCATGTGAGTAGAGTTGCTTCTTCTGTGTTTTAAAGACATTATTTTAAAAAAAGGTTTTCTCTGTTTTTTGAGGGTTTAAGAATCACAATTTTCATTGTGGTGACACTTAGCAGCTTCTTAAAAACTTTTGACACTTCTAATGTTTATAATCTCGTGATTCCAGGAATTAAAAAAACCAAAAACCAACAACCAAAACCACCACCACAAACAACTGTATTTTAGGCATTTGTGATAAAATCACTGGTGAATGCTATCGAGCCGTGTTTGGAAATATGTATTTAGGGTGCAAGGGCATTCCCAGTGTAACTAGCATTGCAGGCTTTGGGGTAGTTTGATTTAGTTCGGTGCTGGGAAGGTTGTCTGCCTGACTTTCCTGTATTTGTCCTGAGCCTGACCTAGCTTAATTGCCTTTTTGACAAGTGCCCACAAGGGAAAGTCTCTGGCAGCGAATGTTGGTCTGTTTATAGTAACTTTATGTTCCTATTTCTTCTTCAGGGTACGTGGTCCAATGCAGCAACTCTCCTATTCAAGCAGCTATGTGACTCCAAGCTGCTTGTGGGCATCGTGGATGAATACATGAATGGCATTTTGCATCTCTTCCTGTGTGACACATCCACAGAGGAGGATGTCTACTTCCACTGTGTCTTGAGGGATGAGGGATACGCTGACATCTGTGGAGAGAACATTCCTTCCCAGGTCAGGAGGGAGGTGTGTGCTGCTGAAAAGAAGGGCAGGGAAAGGATCGGTTGAGTGCCTGTAATGGGAAGATCTTTAGCTTGAAGCAAGTAGTTTTATGAAGAGCAAATCTGGTATTCCCCGCTTTCCTGTAACAGTGTTTTGTGACTGCATCCCACAGTGTCTAACTCTGTGGTGAGAGCTCGCCTTTTTGGTTAAGGTGGAATGTGATGATACAGCAGAGATGTTCCGGTTTAGTAGAACAAATTATTTTCATGCTGTCTTCTAACAGTGGATTAGAAGGTTTTGATATTTAAGTTGATTAGCTTGTTAGTATTGCAAATTCATCTGGAGCTGACACACATCTTTTTTACTTTTCCGTGTTTATTAATATAGCTATAGATGTTCTGAGCATTAGGACAAACTGAGATGGACTTGAGAGATTGTTAAGAGATGTTAGTTACTTCACTACCTGTAGTCAAATCCAGCAAGTTTTGTTAGTTGTAAGTTAAGGCCCCTGATTCATTCAAACAGTTAATGAGAGCAAGTTGGTTAGATTTTATTTTCTGATTTAAGTAGTGCTACATAGTGGCAGGGGCAGTTGAGTGAGGAACAGGATAGTTAAATTATGTTGGCCTTCTCTGCTCTAGGCATTGAAGATTGGTTATGTCATTAACAAACTGAATTACGGAAATGATCTTGGTTTAAAAAGTCTCTTACTTTGCCAGTGAAATGTACAATGTTGGACAGCGTAACCACGGTGGATTGCACGTTGTGCCTTGGACAGACATTCAAGTTGTAAGCCAATGCAGAGAGCATTTATGATTTAGGCCCATCTGTGTCACTGTCTGAATGTCTCAGCTCAGTTTCAGTAAAAACTGTGTGGATGTGAAAACCCTTGGAAAGGTGCTGCCATGATTTTATATCTCAGCAGAAAGTCATGCTTTACAGCCCAGAGTGCTCGTATCTGTTTTGTTCAACAGATGCAGAATGCGTGTTTTGGCAGGATTAGATCCTATGATTGGTTTTTTGTATGTCTATGTCCAGTTTTGAGGGGAGAGGGGCATTGCTGAGTAATTTTGTTGCTGGAGGGAAAGGAGTTGATTTTTGTAGTAAGACAGTTTCTGCAAGAATTTGAAGCTCACTTTGTAGGTGGTGTGCTTCTTCCTAGAAATTTGCTGAGTCTTTTTTATTCTTTGTGGTAATTACATCATGGTGTTCTTGACTATACTGAGGGATTTTTTTGTTTGTTCCTAGGGATTTAAGGAACTGAATCCTTTGGCCTTGTATGTTCAACCCAGTGGAAAGCAGGAGAATGCCGAACTGGTGGAGCCAGACCTTCGCTTGCAGCAGGAATCTCTAGATGCAGATAGTGAAACAGCAACCTCAAAACTGGATGAGGATGAACTGTGTGACCAGGTGGGAGTTTGACTGTGGCATCGCTATCATTCAATGAAATCAGCTCCAGGGGTCAGTTAGATGTGTATTGGTTTAGTCCCATGCAGGTTTTTTGTGGAGTTGGGGTTTTTTTGCTTTTATAAAAAGCAAGCAGAACCATAATATAAAAACAATTACACGTGGACCATAAATACACCTCTAGCTGCTTGTCCTTGATCCCTTTGTAGACTTCAGGGAGTCTGTGCTCAGTGATTTCTCTAGCCTCCCACATGCACCATAATTTTTCAGTTGGAGAATGGACTCTTGAGAACTCAGACCAGTACCAGATTCTTGAGATCAGTTTGACTTAGCACTGTCATATTTTGCACCCCCAGGAGCCAAGAAGTGGTGTGTTTTCCTGTCGCATCTCTGGGTTTTGGCAAAGGATGTGTAATAACTTGGGGTATCATTTAAATGTGGGAAAAGACCAGAAGAACTGGTGGTGGTGTATTATTTGCATTAAGGGTCTTGCTCATTCTAAACTTATCTGAAAGGAAGAGATTTGCAATCCTGATTGTTGCAGGGGGTAAGGTAGTACGCAACTATAGTTTTATTATAAAAGTAACTCTAAAGGTGAACGATAGCCGGATCTGGCTACTGCTTTACACCTTTGATTTCAGAGCACGTTAAAAGGAGGAGCCCTTTGCTATTTAACAGATGGAGAAGCTGATGAACAGAGAGGTTAAGCAGGGAGTAAACCCCAGGTCTTGAGTGCAATCTAACACAGTACTGTTAGAAACACCATGAACACTTGTCTACAGGTGACTCTACTTTTCTGTGTTACTGTAGTATTTTCATGACACATTTTATTACAGAGGCCAAAGCAACTTTCAAGGAAATGTCAGCTGTCAAAGTGTTCAGCAGTGGGCCTGCTCTGGGGCTGTTTTTCTGATGTTTCTCTGAAATAGGAGTAAAAGCTAATGTAATGTTAATAACTTGTAAAGCAGTCATTTTACCTAGGTGGGGTTTTTTTTTTTTAGCCGGCTGCGTTTCTGTGCTAGAGAAATTCTATACGGTGTATATCTTGAATATTAATGGCCTTGCACTGTCGATATATCATCTGAAGGACACAAACCAGCATCTTAATGTATGTATTTGGAAGAAACTAGTGCGACGAAGACTGCAAATCTGAGTTTATTGTGATTTTTTTTCCTTTTTTTTAATGGAAAAATCTGGAGAGTACCCTAACTAATTAACCGTAGCAAGATCCATTTGTGTAAATGTCAGACATAGCTGGTGATGAAATCACCAGTGGACTGGTGGAATGTAAATGCATCCAGGTTTTGTCATGTCTGATTTTAAGGGTCTTATTAGACTCCTTTTCCAAAAAATGCAGTCCACTGGATTTCTGTTTGTCTAAGACTTTAAACATTTCCTTCTCTGCTGTTCTGCTTAGCTGTCCAAAATGTTTCCTTATCTTCCTTGGTGCATCACTAACATGTATAATCAATGGCAGTTATAAAATGGCTGAATGTTTTGAACTGGAATGAAACATGTCTGATGGGACACTTGCTTAGCTAGCATTTTCCGGTAACTCCTCTTACGCAGTGGGGAACTCCCTTTGCATTGTCCAATCTTAGATTTACTTTGTCAGGACTTTTCCCCACCACCACCTTCCTTAAGTGCAAAATGACTGGACACTGTTGTATCAGCTGTTATGTTAGGACACTTCTTCATGGTAAAATTTTTCTGAAGGCAGCAAGCAATAACCAGAAAACATTGCTTGAATAAAACTGTACTTTCCAAGTGATAAGTTTTACTGTGGAAGAGAGAAGTTAAAGTGACAGTTAGTTTCTTGTTCACATTATTTCCTGTCCTTTCCAAACTTCTCCAGATATAAACGTTAAAACTTCTGAGCAGAAGAGCTCCTTTGCATTTCTCTCGGTTAATCTGCGAGGCGTATCATCTGATTGCTCTGTAATTTGCTCCAGTGCATCCTGCTTTCTTCTGCCCATACTAGCTGTGCCTTTTCTTGCTTTGTCCATCTCCTTAGGAATGGCACCTGTCTGCTAAGGAGGAGACACAGGATGATGTGCGGCCACTTTTGGATGAAGTGAGTGTCCCAAGAATAACAGACCAAGGCCCTGAACTTCCCCAGGAGGATACAAATGAAACTCCTACAGATCTTAAGGCAGTGGTTAAGGTAAGGGCTTTTTTCTCAGCTATTTCTGTTTGAGAGGGGTTGTTCTTAGTTTTAGATTATTTTAATAACCCTTTGATTGCTTTGACATGTTTTGTTGGTTTTGTTTTTTTTTAAAGTGACTGACAAAGAAATAATGACTGGCTATTAGCATGGGCTCATAGCTATATGTTTTCCTCTTTGCTGTTGTTCCTGGTGTTATTGATGATATACTTGTGCTCCACTGGCATGTCAAGGTACTGTGGAAACACAGTTGACCGTTTCAGCACTTTATAGATCAAACCTGGCCCTTCTTCACTCCTCTGCTTCCCCTCCATTCACAGTCCTGAGGGTTACTGGGAGTTATTGTGGGGCTACTCGGGATCACACAGGCCTCCCTTCCTGAGCTAGGAGGGTGGGTTTGGGAGGGTTATGTTTCAGGCTGTGATTTGAGGCATTGTGCGGTGCTGGTGTTACAAGTTTGCTTCTTAAATAGTGATCAATCTAATGGAGTCTAACGGAGCCTGCAGCATGGCATTTTGCAAATGCTCCGCTCTGGGTTCAGCAGAGAGCCTGTATCAGGATTTGTTGAGCCACAGAACGCATTGCAGATCTGGAAATGGGAGTGTTCCTACGAGGTTTTGGACAACCACAGCTCCTTACACATCTAGAGGTTGATAGTGGTTGAGACAAAGCACTTTCTGGAGGGATGAGGGGGAAAGCAGGAAGAATGGTGGTTCTGGAGGATGTTACCTGAAAGGGATGGAAAGAAAGCAGACTGGGAAAAAGGATCTTGAGGGAACAAGAGAAAAGAAAAGTTTCTTGTAGCAAGTGTGGGGAGAAAGTATGATGAGAGGAGATGGAGGCAGGTGGGTAGATAGCGATAGGGACCTTATGAGCTGACTTAAATGCTCCCCTGCAAGTATTAAACTGTGTGAGTTTCAAAGTATAGGAATTTCATAACTGGATCATAGAAGTCCTGGGCACATTTTTTTGTGCCTGGCTGTGATCTCTGTTACAGTTTTTAGAAGAGAAAAAAATTTCTATTAAGGAAGACTGTAGGATGAAAAAATAACCTTGCCTATAGACATTGGGATGGGGAATGCATCAGCCAGCTAGTTAGGACAGAGAGGAAGATTTCCTTTCTCTGATTCCTGCTCGTCTCTTGGCCTCAGGGTTTTGGGGCACTTAGAGCATCACCAACTCGTATTCCCTCCTTTCCAGTTTTCACTGCTCCTGCTTTCCTTTTCAGTGCTTGTGTTCTTAATTGTGTGAATCAGGAGGAAGAGTAGCTACTGCCTTACTTCCTGCCCCTCACAGCACTCTGTAGGATATCCTGTCTCATTTGCCTCTTCTGTAAACTGAACAGCTTCTTTTTGAATTATTTCCATCCCAGCTTTTTCCAGTGCTAACAGACATTCCTAGCGTCCACCCTTGCTGCCTATCTGTTTCTGCTTTGCCCTGGAGTGGCAGTGACACTGCCTGTCCCCCAACAAGAATAGTGTGGGTGGCACGAGGAGATAATAATCATCTTTTAACCCTGTTCTTTTTGTTGTCCTGACAGTCTGTATTTTACTACATGTTAGGCAGAGTTTTTCAGTGGGCCGGTGGTATCAAGCTGAGTAGCTGGTTAATTGGACCTCAGTGATGCCTGTCATTCAAATTACTCTGTCCTGGCATCCTGTCAGCACTGAATTTCTGCTGCCCAGCCATGTAGCTCTCCTTGCAGCTTCAGGAGTGCCTCATGGTCCCTGTGTGGGGGCCAGTTTAAATTGTTTGAATCTACTTGTGTTAAAAAAAAAAAAATTAAAAATTGTTTTGTTCCGGGCTAATCCTCTGAACGCACTTTCACCAATGGGTGAAGCACCTCTGCATGGTGATTCACCCCTTCTGAAGATGGATGCCTTTCTTCTGCTGCTTTCACAACAGAAGAAGCCTAGAGAGCAAGCACCTAATTTTTGAACAGCTATGGTTGGGCAAGGTGAATTGCTGCTTGCCTGTCGTTCCACTGTTTTTCTTTTCTGTGCTGAATTAACAAATACAAACATTGGCTCTAGTCCCTGTATGTGGCTGAGACATGGGTGATCATCCCTGGAACTTAAGTTAATTTGTACTCTTAAGCAAAAATGCAGAGGGACTTCCGCTGACTCCGTTCCCACTCCCTTGCAGAAACTCCCTCTGTTGCCATCATTTGTTCTGCGTGGGTCTACTGAGAGATGAACCAGCTGTTAATTCTTTGCTAAGACATGATGATTTGTATCTTGTAATAATCTGTCACTCTTTTCGGCTTGCTGTGCAGGAAAAACTGCCCTTTGGCCAAGGTTATGAGTAACTAGGCTTTTGGGTTTGTTTTTCTTTAAACCACCCAGTTGCTGACATTCCAGTTCTCTGTGGACTTTGAGAGATAATAAAGATCAGGGCAACTAATGAACTGAGTGTGCACTAATCACACCCTCTCCTGAGTTTTTTATATACATTTGCAGACACCTCATTCTCTTGGAGAGTCCTCAATGCCTGCTGTCTTATTCAAGTCAGTGGAAGACTTTTACAGCTCCTTTATCTACTCCAAGCAACCAGCAGAAATGAGCCAAGATGACCCTGATCAGATAGAAAGATTTTCCAACAAGGCTCAACTTCGTGAAGCTGTACATCCCTCTGTTCTACTTATGGCAATACCGTTTATGCTGGACAACCGTAACAGTACGAATAGATTTGTCAATAAAATTTAACACGGCAGAAAGCTGAGCAGTGTGTTACTGTGCTGTGAGTCTTGTAGTCACTACTGGGTATCCCAGGACTGGTGTTGCTTCTTTGCTAGAACAAATGAAAATGTTGGTGTTTCTGTGGGATGGAGATGCGACAATAATAAATGACTGGATGCGATGCATCGGTTTGACCTTTGTGCAGCAAAATGGATTTCTAAATGTTTAATGGGAACAAATGAATTGGGGGTTATTTGTTGATTTTGTTGTTGTCTTTTCTAGACTTTCTGCTGTTTTCATGCAGAAGTCTTTGTTTCTCCACTCCATACATTAGCCTGTGTTCATTTCATACTGAGTGTCTCTCAATCTCCCAACCATAAGGGACAAAAGCGGATTTTTAGCCTTGTGAGGTCCCTGTGGGGGTGTTTGTCTTCCAAAGGATGGAAGAATTTACAACACCCATATAAGAATTGCCTGATTTACAAGGTAGATTAAGTGACTTGCCGAAGGCAGTGCCTGTTTGTGCCTTGCAACAGAGCTATCTGCCGTCTGTCTGGAGTGGAGGCCTAGTTCTCCAGACAGGAACTACTCAATTCGCATCTGATTTCCCACCTCTGGGGAAATAGGGGCGAGCGCTGGGAGGAGAGGGAGAGACACTCTTGGATTATACTGTGTCGGGCTCACCAAATAGGTGTGTAGTAGAAAGTCCTCTTGCCGTGACCTGGTAAGGTCCAGGCAAAAGGGATTTCAGTCTAAACTGGAGCTCTTAGAGTTGCCAATGTAGATACCGTCTTTCTTTTCTGACTCTTTATGCAGATGAAGAGGAAATGAAGAACAAAGACCTTCCCAGGAGTCTTGCAGTTGGCCTGTGCAGTGCCAGTGGGCTGTCTGACCAAGGCCCATCTCAGAAACTGTATGTCCCTCCTACCACGCTATCTGCGGTGCTGGCAGCTGCACGCTTAGCCACTTCCAGTGACTACTTCCAGTGGCCCGCAAGCATGAGAAAGAAGGTGTGAGAAGAGGGGAGAAGCTGGAGCTGGAGCAGCTGCTGAGGAAGGCTGCCTAGAGCAGCAAAGGCCCTCTGTGTGACCATGCTGTCATTTTCTTTGTTCAGAAACACTTAATCATTTGAAAAACCTGGAGTCTGACATCTTCTCAGATGTGCCCAGTATGTGTGATAAATGTTACTTTTACTTTCAGGAAAATAGTTTGGTTTTGTTGTACTGGTGTTGCACTGATTTATTGTTCTTTAATGTAATAGTTCAGGAGAACATGTAAGTGTCATGCTGTGTGACGTGTCCTTTAAGTTTAGGAGAGGGAAACTGGCTACCTGTCCCTCCCTCCATCAGTACACGAGCAGTTTTGACACTCTGGGAGGAGACGGTTTTGAGTTTTAACACCGTGGATGCTCTGCTCTCCCCTTGCTGTTAGGAGAGGTGGTTGTGTCCCAGCTCAGGCCTCAGTCTGTGTTAAGTGCTGGTAACTTGCAGAAAAGAAACCTCCTTCCCCGAGAAACAGACACTCTGATTCGTTGATGAATTAGGATGCCACACATAAAAGCATTAGGAATCCCATGTTATGGGTATCAGATGAGATCTATAAAGAATCCAGTGAGAGAAAGCATGAAGCTTGACATTGGCCATGTTTATGTAGCTCCCTACCTGTGGCAAGAAATCCTCTTGGGCTTGGTTTTGTTAATGCAGAGAAAAGCTGTGAAAACAGAAGTGCCCTGGTTATGAATGCTGGCATTCAGCTGGTTTGCTGGTGCCCAGACTGTTCCTCAGGTCTTCAGGGGCTTCCAGGGCCGCTCTGTGCCCACCTGCAAACGTGCCAGAGGTATGCTTCGCTGCAAACCACCAAGGAAAGCTCAAGATAGGGCTTAACGTTACTATTGGAATGGATAAAAGCCCAGCATAAGAAGTTCATTGATTGGACTAGATGGTCTTTAAAGTTCTTTGCCAACCCAAACCGTTCTATGATTCTATGACTGTTTTAATTTCAGCATTTAGGGGTGGGTTTGGATGTGAAAGGGCTTTAAAAAAAATGTAGAGAGAGAAAGAAAAATTGGGGCTTATTAGGAAATGACCACACAGAAGGCTAACGAAGGAGCTAGAAACGGAGAGGTGAGGAGCTATGGCTTGAGCAGGGGCTGTACAGCCCTGCGGGGAGGTTCAGGCTTCAGGCTGGGGGGGTTGTATCACTTATGTTTGTTGTCTATCACTTTGTTTGTTGTAGGGACCAGATTAAACGGAGCTGAGCTTGCTCGGAGCTGTCTGGGTGATGGAGTGTCTCCAACACCATGCTTTGTGCTGCAGAAGTCCCCTTTTGGTTTTGGGGAGGTGAGAATTGGGTCTGGGGTGTGGCCAGGAGCCCCCCATGTCCACCCCAGGCTGCAGCAGGAGCCAGCCAGCGGGCTGGAGGAGCTGTCACCCTGTCCCTGCCACTGTTGAGTCACTGCTAGGTGGTGGCTAAGGTCAGCTCTTGGTGGCTTGGCTCCCTTCAGACTAAACCCCTCTTCTCTGGGGGGCTGGGAGGGCAAAGGAGGTGAGGAGCTGAAGACACTGCTAGGTGGGCAGCTCCCTGTGTACCTGCTCCCTGCCTGGGCCACAGCGGGTCCTGCAGCTGCCTGGAGGTGTAACAGGGCTTTTGGGGATGGGTCCCACCACTGCTCGGTGTGCACTGTCCCAGGAAATTGGGGATGGGGAGGTGGTGTTGGGGTCTGGAAGGGGGGAGCGTGCACAGGAGGCAGTATACAGGGCTTTGCTGTGATCCCGTGTACCTTTTCTGATGCTTAACGGGACAGTTTGTTTTTTTCCTATAAATTTTTGCGATTCACCCATTGTCTGGAAGTGCGTGATTAGTTTTCCACACCCTTTCAAATCAAGATAAAAGGTGTGCAAAGCAGTGAGCCTTAACCCTGAGCCAGGACCCCTCCAAGCACCTGGGGGATGGAAAACCCACCTGGAGCTGCTCCCCTGCTCCAGGGTGACCTGGTCTCATCATCTCAGCCGTGCGGTGGCATCTCCCTTCCCAGAGCAGCTCAGGTCATGTTTCTCCTGCCCAGCAGGTCCTTGTTTGTACATTTGTTGTTTAAGGCAGTGGAAAAAGAGAAAGACGCCTCGAGGACTGGAAAGTGATGCCACATTTGTGTCCCTGCTCCAGGGCGTTGCCACGCTGGTGCCAGGCAGTGGGGAAGGAGAGGTGGCTGTACCAGGCATCGGGGTTAACCTGAGCGAGCTGTGAAGTTTGGAGGGCCCTAACCCCCCAGAGGTGTCTGATGAAAAGGAGGAAGATGTTCTGCCCTGCGACAGACCTGTCTCTGCAGGCGTCGGGTCCCTGGACACCACCCCCCCACCCCCCGTCGTTGAGGGGCTGCTCCATGGGGCAGTGCCCCTCGTCCCGGGGTGCGCATGTAAAGGGGTCCCACTCCTCCGAAGCAGCTGGGAGAGGAGCCGCTTTCCTCTCCTTTGCCTCCAGTTTCCGCTTTCCCCACAGGGCAGCCGTGCTGCCGGCAGAGGTTATCGACTGGGAGTTCCCTGGCAGAGAGGACTGAAATGTTGAGAACAAATTAAAAATTGAAAGGCGGCGCAGCTCTGCAGCTCTCCCTAAAAGCCAGGGGTTAAGCAAAACACCAGCAAGGTGTGTGCTCCAGGGACTCGCTAATGGACTCGGGCGATGTCTGGGGTCAGCGCTGCCAGGTGGATGGAGCCGAGGTGGGTGGCTGTCCTCCCCGCTGGGGTGGTGGGAAATGAGTGCTGGCATTTTGGTGATGGAAACAGGGGGGATCCCCTCAGCTGGGGCTGTGCACGTGAGATGGACCTGGACTAGCTCAGAAAGGACCCCGGTGCCCCCGCCAGCAGCTGCTGGGTGTGGGTGGCTCTGGGAAGGGTGAGGAGTGATGCTCTGGGCAGGGATTTTGTTTCGGGTGGGGGATTATGGAAGAGTTTCTCGTGGTGTCTGTAAGCAGCTGCCTGGCTGTGGCAGTAATCGGGTGTTTTGAGTTTTAAACAGGCTGTCAGGAAGCATTTGGCTGGTGGGGAGGAGGCTGGAAAATGACAGCTCGCTTCACGCGAACAAAGTGCTGCGGAGGCAGCCAAACGCCTCCCTCCCATGGCCGTGCCGGGCTCAGCGGGAGCCGAGGTCGGGGTACCCCAGCAGTGTGCTGGGCACACAGGGGGTCCCGGGCTGGCCCCCGCAGCGGCTGCTGCGGCCGTGCCTGGTGCTATCTCAGCATGGTTGAAATTGCCCAGATTGATGCATCAGCCCATCCCCTCTCCACCCCTCTGCACTTTTGGGTCAACCCATGCTTTGCAAAGTGGGGTTCAATTCAGCAAGTCATTTGGGCTTAAAAACCAAAATTGAGTGCTTCTGACCCCAAAAACCTTTCTCTCTTTATTTTTAGATGGTTTTTTTCAGATGGAAATTGAATCTTTTTCTGGTTTAGGGAGGATAAAACTGCACTCAACCCTGCATCAGATTGTTTCACTTGACCCACAAGTAAATGCTTTTCTTTCCTCTGACCTGGAAGGATTTCTTTTTCTTTCCATTTGGCAAGAAAAAAGAAAAAGCCAATTCTCGGTACAGGTCACTGCTAAACAAGGTCTTAAGCTGGAGCTAGCTTTTCAGCCTAAGCACTGTGCCAAAACCCATCAGCTCTTCCCACCGCTCCTGAGTGCACGCACTGGTCCCTGGAGTGGCTCCCTTTTTCTCGCCGTGAAAAGCCCCGCTTTGCCCTGCATTTCGCTGGGAGCAAACAGCTGCGGAGCTGGATTTTGGATGAGCAGAGACTTGGAATGGTGCTTGTACCTTGCTGGCTTTTCAGAGCGTGACTTAGCATCCACCTCCAGGGTGTTTCGTGCAAGCTAGCCGCCGTTGTCTCTGCAAAAGCCCATTTCGGTTGAGTTTGGGGGAGATGTTGCATTTTAGTGCTGAGGTATTCCTGTTTATGGGAAGGAGGGTGAAGGAGACGTGGGGCAGCAGTGCTCCTGGAGCATCCCTCGGGTTCAAAATGTGGCCAGCACTGCCTTTTAGTTGAACCAGGACTGTGCTCTGGGGCGGACGGGGCTTGGTGCCAGCTGCGAGGGTCTGTGCGTACCCCACACCACCCCATCCTGCAGAAACGGGGGCTCAAGGTATCCTCCTGAGGATCCGCTTGCGTCCGAGCGAAGTGCTCTCATCTCTGGCTCAGACCTGGCTGCTTGGGTGTTGTTTCCTGCATCAGTGGCACCGCTCCAAGCGCAGCACCCAAAGGAGAGGGAGAAGGGGGGTCCTTGCGGGTGCTGTGTGATGCCATGAGCTCGCAGGGAGAAGGAGGGACGAGCAGTGCGTGGCGTGGGCTGCTCTGCATCCGAAGTTTAGTACAAAAGTGCCGATGCACAGGAACCAGTTGGAATTGGGGCCGTTGCTGGTGAAACCCTTCACCGGCGCTGCTGGGGGAGGGGTAGATTGGCTCCTTCCTATTGAGAATGGGT